CTTGATCATTTCTAATGCTTCTACAAAATCACAATAATAAAAAAGATTAAGCATGAATCAAATGAATTAAACAAAGTTATCAGTCATCCTAGCATATAGTAAACAATGGAGGTTTCTCACAATTTGTGACTTTTGGTCCTGAGTGAAACAAGCATTCAAACAAGTTGCAACAAGAAATAAGAATAAACATTTGCACAGAGCACAAAATTTTTAAACAATTATAACATTCTATAAAGCGGTACAATTTACCTTGCTTGCGTTCACACGTTCAACATCCTACTAGCACCATCCAAACTTGGGAGAATCTTCATGGGATACTTTTATACAAATAGAAACAATCTAGAAGAGGTTCTCATCATTCATCCCTAAACAACACTTAAGAAAACTTAAAAGGAAACAAGTATATATACAATATAAACAACTATACAAAGCTCAAAAATATAGAAACTATGGCAATGCACTTGAATATCTAAACACTAATCCCCGACAACGACGCCATTTTGTTCAAAATGTAGTAAAGCGGTAAGAAGCAAAATTTAGATTTGTAAGGATTCCCTCAGGGATTTATATCGTCTCCACAGGGATCGGTACGAGGGAAAGAACATCGTTCAATGGTCTCTATATTTCTAAGCTTATTGTTACAAAAGGGTTGAAAGATCAAAGGTACAATAGATAAAGGCTGAAAATATAAAGACGAAAAATATAAAGTAAAAACTGAAATATAAATGGAGCCTTGTTGGGATTTTAGCTCATCAATTCATAACACATCCATTCTTTTAACCAGTTAAACACAAATCAATCATTCGTTTGATATCCTTACATATCACCCACAACAGAGGTTATGTCTAACGCAATGTCAAGAGAACAACGTATTGTCTCATTGGTGATGTCTCACGCAACTCAACAACACAGAAAATTAAGAACAGATACTCATGCAAATGCTAAGCCTAGATCTATGTCTAGAGTCTAGAACCTAACAAATATCCAAAGATGACACCCATATCAGATTCATGATTAATTCACATAAAATGCCAAGATCAGAATACGTACATACGCTTAACCCTTTTTACATGCATTCAACTAATTTTCCAAATGTAAGTGAAAAAAGTTTTTCATCACTATTATCACGCATCCTCAAAATACCGCTCACGTCAAAAATGTTATCATGGTCTTTACGTATTGATCTTACTCATGCTACTAATCAACACAATAAAATAAATGTGATACTAGTAAATATCAACTTGCAAGACTATGTCAAAAGTTTTTTCATTGATAGATGAGTATCTTAGATCAAAGATTTTAAAAGTTTTTGTTAAGACCCACAAATAAGAAATCAAAGACAACATCAATATTGAATCAAAACTAGTTCACAATACATAACTTAGATGAAATACATAAGGTATCAAAATATTACATCTAAACCCAACAAGAGACCTAAGATCTTATCTTCTCCCCCTTAGGGTTTATGTTTCTCTCTCTAGAATATGCTTGGAATGAAGAGAGATAAAGTTCTGATCTCAAAAATCTAAGTTACAAAACTTCTCCCAAAATTCCTTCTAAAAGGTGAGAAAAAGTACATATATAGTAAAGTAAAATATGTCTTGTCGCCTAGCGAACACCCTATTCGCCCAGCGAAGACTACTTTTAGGCAGTTGAAGTGCCTCAGGAACAGTTAAAGCGTCCTTGGAAAATATCTAAGTTTGTCGTGTGAGCACTTCTTCGCCCATCGAGCTTCTTCACTACAAGTTTGCACAGCGAACTTGTGGCCCTTTTCTTACTGCCATCCAAGGTTTCCTCCTTGTTGGGGCCTCGCTGCAACTTCGCCCAGCGAATATTCAATGACTGCTCGCTAATATTCTCCCAATGAACATGTTGATTCCTCTTCATTTCTTTGACTTACTTGTCCACTCCTTTGTGTCCTAATCATTTATGTTTTATGCCTATATTCTGCATAATAACACACACATTAAAGAATCCAAAGTTATTTGCAATATAATTGAAGAATCACACAAGAACAAGAAATAAATCTATTAAAAACATGAGAATTGAGTTGAAAAATGCCAAGAAAGATGGTTTAATTTAAGTCAAAATTTGCACTTAACATCTACCTCAAGTTTGGTTTGCGTACCTTTTGAGAGGCTCTATAGAACAACTGATGCCTTTGCATCTGCCACTCGTTCACGACTATAGAAGCCTGACCGTTTGTAAGCGGCTTCTCGAAGTTATATCTTATGACGACCGGCTAAGTAATACATCCTTCTTATTCCTTTATTTTAAGATAGACTTTGTTTTCCCCACTCTTCTAAAATTTAGTTAACGTTGTGTTCATAGGGGATGTAGAAAATTATTCTTTGTGGTCTAACTTGATTTGGCTTACTTAGAGACTGCTATCGAATGGGGGTGAGATTCTTAAAAGCTTATTCGCTTGGTCCCCCTCTAGTCAATGTGGATCGGGCTTGGTTTCCTTCCTTGATGTATTTTCTCTAAGTGGATTTGTGAAGCCAAGCATTTAGCTTGATAAGACGGTCGTGCAGAGACATCACATTCGAGTTTATCCAAAACCCAGAACAACTTCCCATTGCCTACTCTTTCTTGTCGAGGATGCGATTTTTTGTTATTTTTGTAAGACTAAACTCTCAAATTACCGAAGTTTAAAGGATCTCCGCTATCGTTCGTGTTCGGATCCGATTTCCAAAAATTTGATAGTTTGATTGCACCAAATCGAGGGTTATCACACAGAATCCACCATCTATGAGGTATTTCCTAGGCGTTCCATTAGCGGTGGAGGTTGCTGAAACCACCGATAGCTTTGCACCTCAATTTTTGTATCTTCTTGTATATCGAGTATTCTAGTGCACCTCAACCTTTGTTTCTTCATTCTTGTCACTCTTACATTCAGAATGGATGTTCTAATGACAGATCGCCACCAGATTTCACGATGTTGTGGATCTTAGTGGTGTTGATCAAATATGGTAGAATAGAATCAGAATACATAATAATTCATGTTATACAAACATATAGTGCAATTCACGACATTAATTACTATATCGGCAATAACTATGCGTTCGAGACTCTGTTTACCTCATCGCGATCTAGGAATTCTAGTACCAGTCGGTCTTCACTTATTGGTATGAAATTACTCCATGTATTAAGGAAGTACACAGCTAGCGGGTCTATGTTGGAAGTTGTTATGGTACAAATCTTCTCGATGAGGATATTTAAGGCAACGCGAAATTGAGAGGTCGATCGATGATCGTCCATGTGATATTGGAGGTGACTATCTCCCTTTGTCGATGATTTTGGTGAGGATCTAATTTTGGATCTAAGACAATCTATTATGGAATTCTCGTGAGAATTAGGAGTCAATTTCCACATACAGTGTCATTGTCCCATTCTTGAACCAAAAATAGGTGTACGTTGATAGTGTGGAATTCTAAGTCAGTTATGTTGATCTCTGATGACAGAGCGAGGATAAATTTGTAAGATTAACACTTCAACGTCTAAATCAGTTTATAATTCAAGATGAATATACTAAAAAATAAATGAGAAAGTGCACCTTGAATTTCTTATGTGATGACTTTTATACTTTAAATTATTTAAAATAGATATATGTTAGTTTTGTGCATTGAATTATTGGACTCTTGACCGATCCAAAATCATATATATTGTTTTGATATTTTATTGATATTTATTTATTTTTAATAATTCAAATGAAACAAAATAGTGTATTGTCATTAGAGACAACGATGATGTTCAAAAAATAGTTTTAAAATTCGATTCAATAATTAATTGGTTGAATATGATTTATTAATCAAATTAGTCAAACTTAAATTCAAAATTAAAGTAAAAAAATAAATCGGTTGAATTTAAATATATTTAATTTATTAGCTAATAAATCAGCACGATATTCACTCGTATGTTTTCAAGTTGAAAACGGTCTGACACATTTTAATCCTAACTACCGTCATAATGCAGGGTCAATACATATTCCCATTTAAATGTTTGATATAAGTAGGTTGTCTGAGACGAGGGGAATGTTTAATGGCAAAATTACCCCTAAGCTAATTTCCTCCTAGACAGCTTTTAGGGCAGTATTAAAGTTTCTATTACGATATATTGAGGGTAATATTGTGAATATAAATGCACGCGAAACATCGTCATCTTAGAACCGAAAAAGTTGTGGAGTTTCCCTCACGCCCATTTCCTCATCGTGAGTCTATTTTCTAAAGCGTCCCATCACGAGGCTCTCGCAAAAGAACGAGGTCATTTTCGACAATTCGAAATCAACCCCACATACAGTGTAACGTGGCTCATGAACCGTAACTTGATATTAAAACCCGGTCCAGACCTCAACACGTAACGCACTTAACCATTACTACAATTCTATCAATTCGCCACGTAGGATTTACACGTGGCAGTTCACTCTAACTGTCATCGCATTTTCTTTTTCGTCTTTAAATAATTCATACTTTCTAAACTGCTCCGTATCCATATCCACTGCTCCACGAAAGCCATAATCTCAGGCAAAAAAAATTTATATTCAGTCGCCGGAGAATGTGGAAGATCCGGCGATTAACGATAACGTTAGGATCAAATTCTAATCATTTATAGAAGGAGAAATTTTAAGCTAAAGCGAGTTAACTTGGCAGAGTTTTCAAGTTATTCCATGTTTAGTTTCACAAGTCAAAGGAAAATTATTATGGAAATACAATAATAATAGAAAAAGCTATTAAAAAAATAGAAAGAAAAAAAATATTCAGGAAACTTGCACTGTTTTCAGCGTCAACAGTTTTGGCAGAACACGTTATTCCTTTTCTTTTTCTAACTTTTCCTTTTTTGTGACTTTCTTCATCATCAAATTTTTAAAACGTATGCGGAGAATCGAGAAAAGGTGACTTCATCATAGAACTTCACAGAATTAAAAGTTTAAGCTCGAGATTCGAAAATGGAAGAAATAAATAACTTCAGAGTGTTACTGTGAATTTTATTTTGAAGTTCTGATGTTTTATACGATGAAAATTCAACCGATCGATTTTCATTTAGATGAGGAGATTACTCGAGATGAACCGGCTAAGCCGGTAGTCAAGTCGCGTCTGAAGCGGCTCATCGAGCGTCAATTCTCCGGCGTGCTGAGAATTTCTGCGGCGGAAAAAATCGGAAGTGATCTGGAACCGCATTCATGCAAGGAAGGCTTTAACGGCGGCGGCGATAGCGAACCGAGCTCAATATGTTTAGCAAAAATGGTGACGAATTACATCGAGGAGAATAACGAGAAACTATCAGTTTCTGTGAAGTGTGGAAGAAACCGCTGTAACTGCTTCCACAGAAACTGTGAAGATAACTCCGACGATGAATCGGACGCGCGTGGCGGTTTCAGCGCTTCCAACTATTCATCTTCTGATGCATCTGAAATCCTCAAGGTAATTGATGCTTGTTTGAATTTGAACAACGGATTTTGGCGTTTTAAAATAATTAAAAAACGAAACGTTTCTGAAACGCTTTTTTTTTTTTTTTTTTCATTTCGGACAGGGTTTGGTAGCTTGTAGAAGCGTTGGTGAGAGAAATCTTCTAGCAGACACTGCGAAGATCGTTGATAAGAACAATAAGTGCAAACGCAAAGATAGCTTTTGCAGAAAGATTGTTACCGACGGTTTGTTAGCTCTTGGCTACGATGCATCCGTCTGTAAATCTCGTTGGGAAAAATCATCTTCATATCCCGCCGGTACTTAATTCAATTCTAACTAGATTGAAAATTCAAATTTATATATATCTATTGTTAAGAGATTGTTGATTGTTGAACAGGGGAATATGAATATATAGATGTGATGATGGAGAATGAACGGTTAATAATTGATATTGATTTCAAATCAGAATTCGAGATTGCTAGATCTACGAAATCCTACAAAACGATTCTCCAGAATCTTCCATACATATTCGTTGGAAAGTGTGATCGTTTGCAGAGCATTGTGGCGATTGTATCGGAGGCGGCAAAGCAGAGTTTGAAGAAGAAGGGAATGCATGTTCCGCCGTGGAGGAGAGTTGAATACGTCAGAGCAAAGTGGCTTTCGGCTTACACTCGAACTAGTGTGCATGTGCAAAAACAAAAGAGTTTGAAGGAAAACGGTGTCACTGAGAGTTCCGGTGGATGGAAGCCGCCGGAGTTGAAGCCGAAGGGGTCATTGACCGGGGTTAAAGTGGTGACTGGTTTGGCCGTGGTTTTTAAGGATGATAAACCATAGATAAAATTTTGACTGTTTCTGATTTTGGCTTAATTTTTCTTTTTTAATTTGATAATATGAGGATTAAAATTTTTTATGTGACTGTATAACAGCTCTAATTCTATCCCCTTCTGTTTTTTTCTTGAAGTGTGGGATGTTTTCTTTTTTGCTTATATGAAATTAAATAAAGTTGAGATATAGATTTTGTGATATTGGTTCATTGTTTTAGCTTATTGTTTTCTAGTTTGACAATACAGCTTTTTAATTATTATTAATACAGCTTTCTAATTATTATTAGTAGTCCGTCTCCCCGTGTCTGAACGTATTTTTTTTTTTTTTGTGTTTGTGTTTATTTTTTTTAATTTAAATTTTATATACAAAATTTAAATGAAATAGTTAGTGCAAATTATTATATAGCAGATAAGTTAATAAAATAGTTGTGCAAATTATTATATAGCAGTTAAGTTAATAAAATAGTTTTTAAATTTTTCTTTTTTATATGTTATAGATTATTATTATTAAATTAAACTTTTACAGCTTTTTAATTATTATTAAGCTGTAATGTCATATTTATTAAAGCTCTAATGTCATTTTTGTTAAGTAAAATAATGTCATTTGTGTTAAGTAAAATAAATGCAAAATAATTGGCACACCAATTGACAACGGACTGGGGCAACAAGAAGTACGGTTAAGGAAATATGGAATTCTTTTACCCCCGAAGGAGGATCCTTAAGGGAGGAGTAGATGTGATTCAGTCTCATTTTTCGGAGTTTTCTACGTGAAGGCAGAAAAAATGTTCAAATTATTTAGTGAAATAAGTTTGAAAAATATTTTGGATTTGTCAGATTTGTAGAGGTTAAAGATAACAGCGTGTTTGCAGTATCTTGATTGATAATGTTAAAATTCATGCTAACATTCTAAGATTGGGAGAAGGGAATAAAGATCGTTTCTAAGATTGGGAGAAGGGAATAAAGATCGTGATAGACATTGTTGTAATAATAGGCCTGCTTCAAGTAGAAGAAAGTAAAAAGTTAACGAAGTTGGTATTGGAGACAGATCGTTTGCAGATGTAGTCAATAATGTTAAGACTGTATTTAATCATGATCAACCCAAGAAGACTTAAGCTCTCCTGAGGTACACAACTGCGGAAGAAGACATAGCTAGATTCAAAAAGGCTTATGTGGGAGTGGTTTTTAACTCAGGTATGGCATACAATATTCAAATTAGTTTTGAAATAGATGGTATTTCTCTATTAAGGTTACACCTCTGTGCTTGTTAGAGGAAAGTGAACTCGGAGAAATTCGAGATATTATTAGAGAAGCTGAATCGTGGTGGAAACAGTGGTTCTGAGGTTAGAGAATCGAAGGAAAATGTGGTGGATAAAGAAAGGGTTACTTGGTTGAGGTGTTATGGCATTCCATGCCGCGTGGAACTTTTCCTTCTTCGAATTGTTAGCGAAAATGGTAGGAAAATATGTGTTCATTGATGATAATACGTTGAAGGGGAAGTGTATGGACATTGTTAGAATCATGGTTAGGACGTATTGTGCTGTTGTGATTAATGAAACGTTTAAGGTTCATATTGAAAATGAAGTTTTCGGCATCAAGATGTGTGAAGATTACCATAGACCTCTGCGTATTGTTACAAATCTTACAGATAGAAAGGAGGTTTGCATTTCCTCTTCTTCAGATTCTAATCGTCATTGGAGCCATTTAGGGGAAGAGGAGGACGATGATGCAGTTTGTAATCTAGTTGAAGTTTAGAAGAACAATGATTTTGGGGTAGATTTCTGCTCTACTCCAGCGAGAACTACGTCGGAGGACAAGTTAGCATTGATTTTTGGGAGGTCTGAAGATTCGGAAAAGACTTCTCATTTTTCTGAACAGATAATAGCTGACTCTATGGATAGGGAGCTTGTTTTTGATGCGGCAGTCGAGGCGGCTAAAGATAATCTTTCTGGAGGTGAGGGTCCGTTGTCGGGAAAGGTACAGAGCTAATTGATCCGCGGTCGCTCGCGGATCAAAAACGAGTAATTTTAGGAAAATGCAGTACAACGACAGTGACTCGGAATATCGTCTCACAAGGATTCTTGCAGGAATAATCAAATACAGTAACGAAATATGGGGGGTTTTGATTAAGATAAAATAAACGAAAAATAAGTGATTAAAAAAAGTGATTGTAGTAATGAGTTGAAACAGCTAATCTACTGTTTTCGTTTCCCAACTTATCATCGATCCTAATAATTCTCAATTCCTAAGCGGATTCTATCCCCTTTCCGATTATAATAACAATCAACAAACGCAATTGATATTATACGATACACGTTCCTAATTTCTGAATTAAGCAAACAGATAAAATAGTAACTGTGAATTAAGCAAATACGAGAAACATACGCGGATTAAGCAACCGCGATTAAAGTATAAGAACATGCAATCATCGAAATAAATCAATCATCCCTAAGATAAATCGAATTAAGCAAACAAAATATCATAGAGAAGAATTGAAAGGAAATAGATTTTATTGGAAATTAAAAGAACCTCAAAGTGTTGGCGGGAACCGATTACAGCAGATTAATCCGAAGGAATTAGTTCTCCATAATTCATACAAAGCTCCAACAAATATTTTTGTGACTAGTGAATAGGATTCTGTAAACGAGGTTTCCCCTCAAAATAAAACAATGGATTCAGTTCATAACCCAACTGGGTCAAAAACATAACCCAGGCCCAAAACAAGATCAAAACTAAAACAGAATTCTAATGCTGTAACTTGAAACGAAATTCTGGAATTTTGAGCTTCGAATCTGACTTCGACTCCAACACGAAAGTCATAACTCTCTCTCTTAGCTTTCCGGCGATTTTTAGAACGCCTCAAACGGATTCCCGGAACTCCAGTTATGATCGTTTCCGTGCAGACGGCTAAAGCTGAAAAATAGTTGCGATAATTAAATTTTACCAAAAATAAAATAAAATAAGAAAACATAATAAAATATAATAATAAACAAAATAAAATAAAGAAATGCCTAAGTAAAAATGTAGAAGAATGTGCATAAATATGCACTGATCAAATTCCCCCGGACTTGAACTTTTGCACTCCGAGCAAAATTAAAACAAAACAAGGGAAGCACACACACATCAATAGTTACTCATCCCCGGCAACGGCGCCAATTTGATCCGCGGTCGCTTGCGGATCAAAAACGAGTAATTTTAGGAAAATGCAGTACAGCGACAGTGACTCGGAATATCGTCTCACAAGGATTCTTGCAGGAATAATCAAATACAGTAACGAAATATGGGGGGTTTCGATTAAGATAAAATAAACGAAAAATAAGTGATTAGAAAAAGTGATTGTAGTAATGAGTTGAAACGGCTAATCTACTGTTTTCGTTTCCCAACTTATCATCGATCCTAATAATTCCCAATTCCTAAGCGGATTCTATCCCCTTTCCGATTATAATAACAATCAACAAGCACAATTGATATTATACGATACACGTTCCTAATTTCTGAATTAAGCAAACAGATAAAATAGTAACCGTGAATTAAGCAAACACGAGAAACATATGCGGATTAAGCAATCGCGATTAAAGTATAAGAACATGCAATCATCGAAATAAATCAATCATCCCTAAGATAAATCGAATTAAGCAAACAAAATATCATAGAGAAGAATTGAAAGGAAATAGATTTTATTGGAAATTAAAAGAACCTCAAAGTGTTGGCGGGAACCGATTACAGCAGATTAATCCGAAGGAATTAGTTCTCCATAATTCATACAAAGCTCCAACAAATATTTTTGTGAATAGTGAATAGGATTCTGTAAACGAGTTTTCCCCTTAAAATAAAACAATGGTTTCAGTTCATAACCCAACTGGGTCAAAAACATAACCCAGGCCCAAAACAAGATCAAAACTAAAACAGAATTCTAATGCTGTAACTTGAAACGAAATTCTGGAATTTTGAGCTCCGAAGTTGACTTCGACTCCAACATGAAAGTCATAGCTCTCTCTCTTAACTTTCCGGCGATTTTTAGAACGCCTCAAACGGATTCCCGGAACTCCAGTTATAATCGTTTCCGTGCAGACGGCTAAAGCTGAAAAATAGTTGCGATAATTAAATTAAACCAAAAATAAAATAAAATAAGAAAACATAATAAAATATAATAATAAACAAAATAAAATAAAGAAATTCCTAAGTAAAAATGTAGGATAATGTGCATAAATATGCACTGATCACTAATCACTAAAGTTAGAAAGGATGACTCTGCTAGTCTGGCTCCTCTTTTTAAGGTTGACTTAATTAGATCCTTGGTTAGTGGGAAAGCAAGTAAATCTAAAAAGGTGAAATTAAGACGTATAGCTGAAGTGATTGGGCCAGGTAGTAGAAAACCCAAGAGGACTCTGGTCCTTGTCAATCTTAATGGGCCTGGAAATTCAGAGGATCCAATTGAAGACATTTCTCAACCCTCTTATTTTGAAGTGTTGAACAAAATCCCTAATTCCTCATTCATTATTTGTATCCCTAATGGTTTGCAAGAGGTGGAAGAGGAATCTTATAATTTTTCAACTAGTGTCATTTTGTGTTGTGATCAAACTTCTGACTCTGATGTGAGGAGTTGTAATCATAAGTTTTGGAACAACTTAGAATCAAAGGTAGGAGAGAAGATCTGGAGTGCTATCTCTGATCTTGGAGTGGGGGCGAATGATAAAGCTAAAGACTATCAAAGGAAGATAGCAGAAATGGAGGCTTTGGATCAAACTAGATTCATAGGTCAGAAGGAGCTTAAAAAAGGAATTCAATGATTTTAGGATCATTGAATATAAGAGGGGGTGGAATTCTTTCCAAACGTAGAAGAGTTAATGATATCATAAAAAAGGGAGAGCTGACATTTTTTTAATCCAAGAATCGAAATTAAGGAAGGTTGATGAAGCAATTGTCAATAGCTTCTAGAGCAATGGAGAAGTCGGATGGTCTTATAGTGGTGCACAAGGTCAATCTGGAAGAATTATCTCATTGTGGAATGAG